GCTTCAGGTCCTCTTCAGTTTCAGCAAGCAGGGTTGTGTCATCCGCATAACGCAGGTTGTTGATAAATTGTCCTTAGTAGGTTGATAAATTTTCCTTAGTAGGTTTATTTTTGCTGAATATCTACAGCACATCTGAAAATATTTTGATATATAATTGTTGCTGTTGTGTACTACTGATTTGAAACTGACCCATAGCTGACTATCCAGCGATTTTCAGAGGAAAGACTGCCCATTTTTCTCCTGTGGAGCAGCTGATGGATTCAAACCACGTACCTTCACATTGGCAGCACAATTCCTTATCACTACAGCACCAGAGTTTTCTATTTATGTATTGTAATATAAAGCAAATGACTGAATCAATGTTGTAGGTAACCAAGGTTCTTAATGTTGGTAGAAAGGAAGGTTCAGAAATAGGATAAGGGGAAGAAAGCCTGTGTGTTATTAAACTGGAACAAGACCAACTGGTGTGAAATCACAATACTGCATGCATTTATACACCGTTATTGTGTACCACTGTATTAGAACTGACTCATTATAGCTGACTCTCCAGCTGGTTTTAAAAGGCAGTAAATCACACAAGAGGAGAATGCCTGCCCCTCTCCCATGGGACAGCTGGTAGATTTGAACTGTATGCCTTTGGGATCACAGAGCAGGTTCTTAGCACTAGGTCACCAGAGTTCCCTATAGGGAGTTTGTTTCCCTACATACAAGTGAGTTAACAATAACAACACACACACACACATATATATAAATAATTCTTAGCTCTATTCGTTTAAGAGTGGCCAGAAGTAAACATCATCCTTATAGCAATCGACACATCCTGTGCCAAGATCTTAGCTTCATATATGTGGCTTCCCACTAACAGGAACCAAGGAGGTCCTTGAATGAATGGCTAATTCTAGGGCTAAGGAAGAGAAAGTAAAAGATGACTGTGGAACACTTTATGGCAGAATTAAGTTATTTTGGTCCATGAAGTTGCAACCTTTAACAGATTTTCAGAGGCAATAAGTTGCATAGGACGAAGCTTGTCCACCTTTCTCCTTTGGAGAAGCTGGTGTTTTTAAACATGAGGTTTTGGGTTGACAGCATTAACTCCACTAAGCAACTAGCACTTCCTTACATGTCTCTGCATCATTATTTTTCATAGCAAAATATTTTAATTATTCTGTTGTTGTTATTGTTATGTGCTGTTGAGTCGCCTGCAACTCATAGTGACCCTATGTACAACAGCCCTCAACCCCACTCTATTCTGTGCCAATCTTATTGTCTCTGACACATTTACCCCCATTACCCCAGTCATAATTAGCCTACATTATTATAGAGATGTGACCAAAAACAATAATAGTGAACATATTAAAAAGATATAATCATTAATAATAAGCTAATAAAACTTATTTTGAGCAAAATTTAGATCAAAGATGGTGAAACCACTGAATAAATAACTGTTGGGAAGTAGAACTAACATCTTAAAAGTATCAGCTAGCAGATCATTTATTACTTATAAAGGGAGAAAAAATGAATATTTACAATGAGAGAGCTAGTCGATACAATTTTAGCTAAATGATTTAGTATCACCAAGGATGGTACAAATGGGCACCATCTGCTCCTGAAGTCATGCACTGAGGACAGATCAGCCACAAAGTACTGAGCTTGGCAAATAATTCACACTGCCTGCCCCTCCCAACACTTGAGCATGATTTAGGGTGATACCAAGTTAAGACAAGTAATCTCAGCCTGGTAAGATACTCGGCAGAAAGTATGTGCTCCATGGTCCTGAATAATACCAATGCTGCTGAATCCCAAGGTTTCAAAGCTCATTTCTGAATCCCTCTAATCTATCTGAAAAGGAGAGTCAGAATTCAATCTTCCTGGGCCAAACTGTGGACTTAGAGCAATTACCTCAATTCAACATAAGGGTGTTTGCTTAGGCCAGACATACCCTCAGCTTCTTTAGGGAAACACAAAATTTATTTTTTTTTCCATCAAGGTAAAAAACAAGAAAAGTACTATTTTGGCTAACCATACTAAAAGAGGAGCTCCATGAAAAGATGAATGATGGATTATTCTTTCATGAAATGAAATGGATACTGGAAGAAAGAGCATGGCAGTTGCCCCACCACCCCCAAGCTTGATCACTTCCTAAGGAACTTAATAACACCTGAGCTGGTCACGTCAAAGAACAGATGAGACAATGGATCCTGATAAAGAGTCTGAGCTTGAGAAAACAAAACACACACAAAAAGCTAAAATCTAACAAAATTAACACACCAAATTCCAAAAGTACCATCTTAGTCCTCCCCAGGACCCCTATAAAAAGGAAAACCCCCCCAAACTGCCTGCATGCCATTTAGATCCTGTCCGCATGCCACATGGCTGGGTCACTTGGCGTCCCTCTCAGACAATGCAATAAAGGCCTGTTCGTTTCTTGGGACCAATTCTTTTCTTTATTTCTCTCCCTTGCGCCCTCGTGCTCTTTTTTTTTTTATATATATATCTAACTATACTTACCTACTGTGGACCTGGGTATGCCAGAATCCCCTTTGATTGTCAATGATGTACTCTCATCTCGGGAGGGTATTTGCATTGAACCCTGGAAATTGGAACAACCAAGAGGTTTAAGAAGATCCAGGAACCATGATCACAGTGGCAAAAACTTGGAATATTTTCACACAGTTTGTTAGTAAAGTTAAACGGAAAGTCAAATGTGAAGGAGGAATATATCTGCTTAAACATCTACTCCCCATGTCTAGTTCTTACTGGATCAGGCTGTTCTCCAAGATGAAGGCCAGCGGAGGTAACTTCAGCGGGTTGGTTGGAGGTAAGGGCTTGGGACATGGTGAAGTCTTTCCCTCCAACATACTGCCGCAGGGCCTGTAGTTCTGAATTTCTTTCCATGAGAGCTTGCACCATCTTCTCTGCAGCAGCCTATACAAAGATATCACACCTAATATTAGAAAGATTTCCCGGGATAAAGAAAGTTTGTGACCTGATATTATTTTTTAAAATGCTCATTAAAAAAAAAAATCAGCCAGTGGGGGCATCCATCGTAATCTGCTTTCTTGCTTTCAATGTATAGGGGAAACATAGTCAAGTCACTGGAAAGAAAAGCTCTCCTACAGAATACTGAAAAAACAGAACGCAATGCATCTATTCAGATAAGAGAATTTAAAATTGATTCTGCCAGAACTCTATTAGGCCAAAATTTTAAGACTCTTGTTTGAATTGGGATAAAATGATTTAACAGAGTATATGGTCAGTCAGCTCTTCTCTGCTGGAGTTTGCCAAATATCTCCATATCAGATTGGCCTTCCCTGTCCCTCCTTTGTAAAACAGTAAGCTCTTCTCTCTCTCTAATTCCCCTAGCCTTGTGTGTGGTTTTGCCCCTACTTAACACTAAGCATTATCTGATATGTCTGTTTGTTGACTCTCTCTTCCCAAATGAGAATGCAAATTCCTAGTGCAGGTGCTTTGATGTTTTGTTTCCCATTGAATCCCAGTATCCACAACATTGTCTGGCACATGGGAGGCATTCAACACATATTTATTGAATGAAGAATTACACAGATAAATATTTTAATTAGAACATCTAATCTGGGAAATTTGAACTTATTTAAAATCATCCTACCAGCTTATTTCATTTCAAACTGCAGTTTTCCTAGATAGATGACACAAGCTGGGTAAAGAGCTAGAACATTATTTACTATCATTACCGTGTCTATAAAAATAAACCAAACTCATTGTTATTGAGTTGAGGCCAACTCATAGCTGACCCTCCAGTGGGTTTTTCAAGGCTGTAAATCACATAGCATGAGACTGCTCATCTTTCTCCACCAAGCGGCTGGGGATTTGAACCACTAGAACAGTGTGGCTTTGGGGTTAGGAGCACAACTCTCTATGAACACACCACCAAACCTCTCTACTACTACTACTGAGGAGTCAGTTTTTAATTAGAAATTATAGAGATAAGAAATTATGACTAAAATTACTGAGAGTATGAAATGAGAACTATGTTACCTATATCATAGCACTAACTGTTTTGGGGAAGAATTTACTAATTGTTTTAGAAAAGATAGACTATTGTATCCTATTCTAAGAAGAATATATTCCACATTATTATGAGATTATTTAGTCTCATGACAGACTTTGTAAAAAAATAATCTGTATATGTATAAATGTATGGGGGTGTGTGTATATATAGATATTTTTTTCCTCTTAAAGTAACTGAAGTTTTAGAAAATTTAAAATATATTTGAAATGTACATTTTCTCACACTTTGGCTGGAAATGCAAAGTAGTATTCAAGTCTTCACATTTTAAACTCAAAATAAAACCCTTCCTGAATACCATATTCCTTTTTCTCAAAATGATCAAAATGTTAAGGGAAAGAAGATGTGCATAATGAAGTTAAGCAGTTCCTGTCCTGCTTAGGCATCTTCCAAATGCCAACAGGTTCCACACATATTTCTTACTTTGATTATGGAAATAAGTAGTCGTTTGCTAATAAACTAAAGGAAAAAACCCTAAGGATATAAATGCACCAATTTGACCAGGTTCCAATGGTTCCTATTTAAGAACAGTGAGTGAGACTCCTGTGCTCTCTGCCGTGGTCCTTACGCGGCTCTCCTGCTCCCTGGTGCTCATCGACTGAAGCAGGGCCTGGATCTCCATCTCATGCTCCACAGCTTGCTTGTTTCGGTCACTGAGGAGGTCCTGCAGCATCCTTTCCTTTCGATGGAGACGCTGGCACAGCTCCTCGGCTATTTCACTCTGCCCTGGCCCAAGCTTGCAGAGCAGTGTTGCACTGAGATCCTAATGCCAAAGGGACAGTATAAGTTTCTGGAGGAAGGAATTCCCTCTACTACATATCAGAGTCGATAAGAATGTATCTATCATAGAAGACAGACAGTACTGATTTCATTGAGCTATGAAATTCTTGAGAATATAGGATCTGGCCCACAGAAGGCTATAAATGCATGTTCAATGAATGAACATAAGCAACATACACATATAAATACTGACACTGGAAACTTACAGCTTGTTTCAGAAACATTCCATTCTTTCTATGAGCACATTATAATTAATATTAAAAAACTCAACATTATTGCCATAGAGTCAGAATCGAGTTTCCAAGACCTTAAACTGCACAGGAGGAGATTGTTCACCTTTCCTCCTTAGAGCAGCTGGTGGATTTGAACCATCAAAGAGGTGTGTTTTTCACTTAACAACACAACTCCCTATGGACCAGGCCACCAGAGCCCCAACAATTAATATTAAGTAAAGATAAATGGGCACTCAGTACATTTATTTCATTTCTTTTTCTCCCCAGTGTTAACTAAGTAGAGTGAGAAGAAGATGAAACACTGAGAAAAATGAACTAACTCTGTATTTATTAGCTTGGTGATTCAACTCTTATTTCTTTATGGAGAGGTAGTACGGTAGTTAAAACTGGAGAACCACAAGATGAATACTGGCTCTGCCACTTTTTAACTATGTTACTTTGGGCAGTGTACTTAACCTCAGACATGTGTTTCCTTGTTTGCAAAACAAGGATAATAGTATGAACCTTGAAGAATTGCAGTCAATAAGTTAATAACCATTAAGATCTTAAAACAGTGCTTGGCACATCATAAGCATTCAACAGAGATTAAGTAGTTTACAATTCTAAAAGTGCTTTGTATATCTCATTAATTTTCACATAACTTCTTTGAGAATGATAATTACCACCTGAAGTTAATAGGCTTGGAAAAAAGTCTCAGTGAAAGTCAATGACTTTCCCAAGCACAGAATAGAAGATTGGAGGCCTTGATCACTGGCTTTCCAGACTTGAAACATCTAAGCTAAGCCTGAAATCACGAAATCAACTGTGTTTCAATGACTTAAAGTCTTACCTCCACTTCCTTGTTCCTGTCATGCAAAGACGTCTGCAACTGCTGGACAATACTTTCCTGTTCCTTCTGCCAATGGCTAAATTTGGTTTCCATCTCCTCTTTGAGCCACTGCAGGTTTTGACAGGTGGCAGATAATTGTTCCACTTCCAGGCCTTTGGCCCTCAGGAGACTCTCCATACTCTAGAGTCACAAAGAGAACAACAGTGAGTTTAAAGTCAAGAAATCAAACTTATATTTAAATTATCTGCTAAAGGCAAGTTGAACATACTGCAAAAGGGAAAAAAAAATCAGAACCTAACCTAAACAATGCCATAATAATCTATTTTTTGTTTTTAAAAAGTCTCATCGAATTTGTAGGGAGATATAGTGAACACGATAAAACTGTTATATAGAATTAGACTATGCTATAGAATAGGGAAGGAACTCCTTTAAGAAGCTGCATTGTGGAGTGGACTTGGGGGGAGGGATTGTATAACAATGAAAGAATTTTTCTTTTACTTTTGAAAGAGGGAACTAGGGGGAAGTTGAGCAGGGAGAAAAGAGCAACAATGAATTAATGGAAATCCAAAGTCTCTATACGTTTTCATTAAAATTAATAATCTTTGTAAAAAAAGAAAAAAAAAAGAAGTGGCAGAGGTCGAGACATGCAAACATGAAACTAAGTATGCAGCAAAAAGCCCACTGTAAAAGTTAATAGAATTAACAAGCATGCTGATTTGAGTGACGCATAAATATGTTTGTAATATTAATTAGAAAGACAAAATGCAATAGTTGCACTCTGACAGTGCTTACATAAAAAAGTGCATAGATATTGACTAAGATTAAAAAGAAATCAAACCCATTGTCAGTCTCAGTCAATTCTGACACATAATTACCATACAGGACAAAGCAGAACTGCTCCCTAGGGCATCCAGGGTGGTAATATTTATAGAGAGAGCTCTGGTGGCCTAGTGGGTAAAGAGTTACACTGCTAATCCAAAGGGAAGCAGTTCAAATCCACTAGCTACTACTTGGGAGAAAGATAGATGACTTCTTCTCCTCTGAAAATGTGCTGGTCAGTCAGCTCTGAGTTGGTTCTAACTTGATGGCACACAACAACAATCTATTGCATCCTTCGTTAGTGGTAGGGCTTGTGGCTTTGAATCTCCAACTTTCCAGTCAGCAGCTAAGTGCTTAACCTCAGGAATATGTAAAAAAGAAATCAATATTCATTACTTTTCCTCAAATACATAAAATTCATCATATAAAAGATAGCAGAAGTGCAAAAATATCCCACTTCCCTAAATTAACACCTGTGGGTTTCATTTATTTTTGTGTTCTTTTCATTTTAACATTTACACTGTCTCATGTTTATACTGAGTCCTGGTGGTGTGATTATTAAAGCACTAGCTGCTAACAGAAAGGTCAGTAGTTTGAAAACATTAGGAGCGCCACAGAAGAAAAATGCAGCAGTCCATTTCCATAAAGATTTCAGCCTTGGAAACCACCTAGAGCAATTTTACTTTGTCCTGTGTCACTGTTGTTGTGTAGCATTGAGGAAGAATCGACTCACAGCTGACCCTGCAGAAGGTTTTCAGAGGCAGTAAAGGCAGTAAATCTCATGGGAAGAGCCTTCCCATCTTTCTCCCATGGAGCAGCTGGTGGATTTGAATCCTGTGCCTTTTGGGTGGCAGTGCAACTCTTAACCACTAAGCCACCAAAGCACCCTACTCTGTCCAGTAGTGTTGCTATATTAGTTGGTAGTGACTTGATATCAGCAGGCTTGGCTTTGTTTTAATAGTTCTTTTTACCTAAGTGCTGTTTGTTTTAGTCCTTATAAAGCTAATACTCTGAATGTCAGAAATGATGACAAGTGTTGGAGAAGAAGGCAAAGTCAATGGCAGGCTTTGCTCGTACTTGCATGGTTACTTCGTTAGAGGAGAGGACATCACGCAGTCTTTCTACGTCATGGTCTCGTTCTCTGATGGCAAGATGAAGATGGCGGAGTTCTTTTTCTTTTCCTTCTAGAGCGGAGAACTTTTCATCAATAGCCCGCTGTAAAAAAAAAAACAACAAACAAAGCACCTAAAGTTCCATAATACATACTATCCAGTCTACCCTTATTTAATAAGATTCTATAAGGGAATAGGAAAACCAATTCTCAAAAGCAGTGTGTTAAGTAGATACAAATTGCTATAGTACCTGTGTGGTACAGAGTATAGTGAGCAAAGTGAAGATACTCACCTCCAGGGCAGCATCACGATCTTGGATCCGCTGCCGAAGTTTCTCAAGCAACATTTCATTTGCATCAAGGTTTTTGTCTGAGTTATCACGATACTGCAGGAGCTCCTGCAATTCCTAATAAGAGCAAAAATTATGTCCCTTTATTCATTTACTTACCCTATAACAATTGAGTTCTTACATGTTGCCAAGTAATTTACTAGTTATTAAGAACAAAAACCCAATGTGGTCACTTTCGGGGAAAACAGATAAGACATTAATTCTCAACTGTTATTATGTACATATACATATACACATACACACATATGTGCACACATGTGAACAGATACATGTATGTGCATGTGCGGGTGTTTGTACAGGAAGCTGGCTATTAGGAGAACAGAGTTTCCAGGTGGCACAAATGGTTAAACATGTAACAACCACCCAAAGGGCTGGCATTGTGCACTCTCTCACCAGCTGCCTCAGATGACAGGCTGGCCTAGCAATCTGTTTCTGAAAGGTCACAGCATCAAACATTCTATGGAGCCTTTCTACTGTGTAGAGGTGGGGTTGCCATGAATCAAAATCAACAATAAATGACTAAAGGAACACAAAATGCATTGTCTACCAGGAGGTGTCACTAAATACTTCACAAAGGAAGTAACATTTAACTGAACCTGAAAGACTTGGGAAAGAATCTAAATTTTCCAGAATGAAAAGGAGGTATGGGTTATTTCTATCAGAGCACATATAATATATGCATGTTGCTGCTGTTTGATGCCGTCAAGTCGTAGTCAACTCATAGCGACCCTATGAGCAAACGGCCTGAGCACCTTTAAAAAAAAAATTTAAAAATGGTGCGCTCTTGTGGCCTAGTGGCAAGAAGCTGCACTGCAATCCCAGAGGTGGGTGGTTCAAATCCACCAGATACTCGGCTAAAGAAGGGACAATCTCCTCCTGTACCAGTCAGATATGATTTGATGGTACACACAAAATTATAAAATTGTAAAAGTTTTTTTAAAAAAATAAAGATGGTCTTAAAAAAAATTATATGCTATACAAAATGAAAGGGAGTCAATGCGACTGGAACTCCGAGTAGGAGCTAATTTTAATTGTTGCTATGTTCTGTCATTTCCAACTCATTGACCTCACGTGACAGAGTAGACTAGACCCATCTGGTTTCCCTAAGCTAGAAACATTATAGGACTAGTTTGTCAGATCTTTTCTCCGGAGGAGACTCTGAGGGATCTGAACTACCAATCTTTCAGGGAACATCAAATGCTGAAAGTAAATAGTCTATATATATACACACATCTCTATTTTCCCAGCATCTAGCACAGCATATGACTCACAGGGGCACTTAATAAAGATTTACTATGTCTTTCAGGTGTGTGTGTACTATTTCCTACATGTGTCAGTAAGCATCTTGTTTCAGGAGTTGTATTTTATATTTATTTTTAATCTTCTTGATATCCACTGGTGCATTTTCTACACATGGCTGGTTTCCAACACATGCAAACTAATACTTGCAGAATGTACAAAACTTTAGAACTCTACAAACCCCATTTAGTTGCAGCTGTTATGTAACCTTACCTGTAGTAGCCGTTCTTTGTGACTCAGATTATGGCTTAGGTGCTGAATGTTCTGCTCTTGGGTTCGAATCTCATTGTATTTCTCAGCCTCCAGGGTATGAAGCTGTTGGTTTTTGTTCTGCAATTCTCCCTGCAGTTGCTGTAATGCTTTCCTTAATTCCTGATAAAACATAGTCCTCCTTTTTTAAAGCAATCTAAAATATTTGCAAGGTCATTAGACACTGAGGCACTGAGGCATTAAATCTTTGAAAGCATACAAAACTAAGTGTAAAATAGAGGACAGTACTGTTCTTAAAACTGCTGTGGAAATATTGTAAATTAATTGAATAGGATTTGGAAAGCAATGATATGAGGGGATGGAGCAGGAAGAAAACTTTATATTATAGTTCAATATTTATTTTTGGCTTAAGAATGATACATCTATACAGCTGTTAAGGGAATACTCTATCTCACTGTAAACTTTGATCTCTTACTCTAAAAATAAGCCCAAGGATCAGATATCCTATGATCTTCATTTCTAAATTGTCTAAAGAATTCATGAAGACTATAATATTTCTTAATTTTCCATATGTAGGGGTTTTTTTAGTAGTAAGATCAACAAAAGCCCTGTAGATGGAGATGGTGTAACTATCTGTACTTTAAGTAATCTCCAAAATATACTGTGGCTGTCACACCCACTAAATAAAACTTGGGAAGAAGTTCTTTTAAGTAAATAGTAAAAGTTAAGGATTATTTTCATTCATTTTTTTCTGCTTCTGTCTACCTTTAAGCCTTCCTGCCCTAAACATCTGAAATCTTAATATTTATAAAGTAAATTCAGGAACAGTATTTAGTTTCCAAAACAGCTAACCCAGGAGATCCTTTAAAAGTCATTTATTTAAATCCTAAATGTCAGCCTAAGAAAGGGAGCTACACATTATCTTTTTAAAAAAAATGGTTAATCATGAAGCCATTGCTTTATTCTTGATTGTTCTCTGCCTACTTTTCTATCTGACACAGACTTTTACTTGCCTAATTAAAAAAAAAATAGCTTCAGACATTTCCTCTTCCAGACAGCTTCCTGACTCCCCTCTCCAGACCTTCCTATATATTCCAATAGCACCACTTACTCTCTATAATATTTACCACACTGATGTCCTATTTATGTGAATGACTCCCATACTAAACTATGAGTAGTTTAAGAGCTTCTGTGAGCTACCCTTGGGTATTTCCAGAATACAGTCCAATAGTAACATATAAGCACAGCAACAATGTTTTCAAAAGAAGTTATTTATTTAGATTAAGCAAGTGACTCAAAGTTGGAACTGAAACTATCTTGCTATTCAGTTACTAACAGGACAAAGGCAGGGCTCAGGACCATATAAAGTTTAATGATTTACCTGGTTATGCTTCCACGAGGCCTCTTTCTGCTGTTCTCGCTCATGGGCTGCAGCTTCCACAAACTGCACACATCGTTTGGCATCGGCCAGCTGGCGTTCTTTCTGGCGTACCAACCTCTGGAGCTTCTGTATTTCAAGCTGGCTGCAGAATAAAGCGCTCTGAAGATCGAGCAGAGCCACTTGCTGCTGAGCTGGGGAAGCGCCCTCTGAGCTCTGGAAGGAGAGTAGAAATCATAGTCACAAGCAGGCAAAACACAGAGCCGTAGAGAAGACCAACAAAATTCAGACTGTGTCTGGAAGGGGCACTCGTCCTGGCCTGTGTGACCCTCACGTACATGAAGTTGTCCAAGCTGGCTCTGGTGGAGCATTTCTCGAAGCTTCGCCATTGTGTCATTTTGACCTTCAATCACCTGATACAACTCCTCAGTCTGAAAATGAATAGGGGAGTTCCAAACATATTAGTCAGTCAAATATAAACTCTATTATCTCAGAATACAGCATGAATTCTGATTTTAGTAACAGAACTATTCAAATATACTAATTCAAGGTAAGTAACAATTTTCCACTTCTCGGCCTGGAGATCAGTTAGTATGACAAAGCCTGTTTCTACAATGTATAGAAAACTAGTCCACTCTGATAAAACAAAGAGCTTCCTCAAAGATCCTTCACGGCTAAAATATTTTACCTCATTTTCCCTGCTTTTCAGAGTTTCCTTGAGGCTTTGAATTGTACCATCTTGCTTTTGAGAGGATTCCCGAGCCGACTTTAGTTCAAAGCTCATTTCATTTAGTTTCTCTTGAAGAATCTGCATTTAGCAAAGAAAAATAGCTTATTAAGCAATTTTTTTTCTCAACTTTAAATGTAACCAAAAAAACATTCCCTTAAATCTAGGGTTTGAGAAAATTCTTGGGGAATTTTACCATTCTGTCTCTCCATTGTAATAACTATTAGATTCAAGCAGCAGGAAGAATTGGCAGATATAAAATACTTCCTTCAATAGTCAAATGTCTCAACTCCCATGCACTGTGCTTTCTTTATGAAGGCAGCTCTGTTGGGGCACTTATCCACAGGAGCCTTGTGCGTCCCTTACACAAAGTCCAAGGACAAGGGTCAGCTACTGTAGCTCAATGCCCTTCTGGTGGTCTAGTCCATAGGGAATTGCACTGTTAACTCAAAGGTGGTCATTTCTCTGGCAGTTCTAATCCACCAGTGACTTTGGGAGAAAGATAGGCAATCTTCTCTCATGAAATTTACAGCCACTCAAAACCTGCTGGAGGGTCAGTGATGAGTGGATTCTAACCAGATAGCAGAGCTGAATTTTGAGTGAGCATGGTACAGGGCACTACCAGGCCAAAAGCTCAAGTTAAGTACATGTTAAAATCCATGGGCTAAAGAGTGATAAGAAGCTATGCTAAAATTAAAAGCACAAATGTCCTGTCCCCATGTCTTACATAGTGAAAACACTGCATTCAATCTTCAATAACAGATTCAAAAGTCACCAGGCACTATGATGTGTGCAAAACAAACTAAAATCCTTATGAGCAATAGGGGAAAATTATAAAAAATTCCCCATAGCATCAGGAGTGCACAATATTAATTTCTCATGTCTTACTCTGAGGGTAACAGGTCCCTCTGAGACATTTTCTCAGGAAAACCCTGTGCTCTTCAAAGGCAGGTTATTGATCATACCTTGTTGGTGGTCTCTGTTTGCTGGATTTTTTCCTGGAGTTCTGCTAAGTGAGAATCAGATACGTGCTGCTGAATTACGGTAGTCTCAGCTGAACTTAGCTTTTGTTGTTTGAATAGCTCTTCTGTCATAGGCTAGGAAGAAGCAACAAGACAAACTGAGTTAAAGACAGCTAACACTTTTTATTTTCAAACATCTTTGGTGTTTTTGCTAATTGGAAATCCACAGTTATTGCATAAATTATGAATATTAATTCCTGGAGATAGCTCTGATTTACATCTATTTTTACTATACTTCATAACTCCCTTCACCATCTTCCTTTGCCAGTTCATATACATACTGCATATTCAGTTAAAGGAAATAATACAGATTTAAAGAAGTGAGGAAAATGATAAGTTTTTGAGGCCATAAAATTCCCTTTTCCCACTTAGAGAATTCAAAAGGCGTACTTGCTGAAAAGTATTTAGAAGTGAAGTATAGTGATGTCTGACAGTTAATTTGAAATAAAAGAAAAATAGCTAAGATTTAGGAACGGATAGTGTTTGATAGGTGGATGGATATGTGATGAGGCAGATCATTGCTGTTAGGTGCTGCCAAGTACAACTCATAGCATGCCTATGAACAGCAGATCTGAACACCATCCTTCCTGAGCCATCCTCATCGTTTCTGACATACCTGAGCCCATTGCTGTCATCACTGTGTCAATCCATCCGGTTGAAGGTCTTCCTCTCACTATCCCTCCCGCCTCCAGGCCTGATTTCTCTCTCCAAGGAATAGCCTCTCCTAACAACATGCCTAAAAAGTATGTGAGGCAAAACTTTGTCATTTTTGCCTCTAAGGAGTACTCTGGCTACACTTTCTCTAAGACATATCTGTTTGTTCTTTCGGCAAGCCATGAGATATTCAGTACCCTTTTCCAACACCACATGAAGCACACAGAGTAAAATGGTAAAATCTAGATGGCATGTGTATCTATGTACTTCTACAAACTTTCCCAAACTTTCCATGTTTTTAACATTTCAAAGCTGTGAAAAAAATTCAGGCTGTAAAATTCCATATTATTTAATAAGAATTTTATTATACAATATACTCCTTTGAAAAGTGTTTGTATCTGACAATATCCTCTTAAAATTTTTTCAATTAAGCAATTAAGAAAATTTGGACAGAAGAATATTATAACAAGTAACCACATTTTCCTCTTAAAGCCATTAATTTTTACCTATCTCTCCGAAAAAGAAAAATAATATATTATAAATTTAATTTAATCTTTTTGTAAAAGCATACCAATAAAACCTATCACCTCCCTAAAGAGATCTATATTTCAAACACTTTTCTTACAAACCTCTATTATATGTATCATTGGGAAAATGTGCAAACTTTTATATGGACTACACATTAGGTAATGGTATTTCAGCAATACAAAATTTCCCAGATTTGGTAATTAAACTACAGTTATGTAAGAGATTTTTTTTAATTCTTAGGAAATACATACTGAAGTATTTAGAGAAAAGGGGCATAATATTTGCAACTAATTATTCAAGTGAATAAGGGAAAAAAAGCATGTGTCTATAGAGTAGGATTCATTAAACAAATGTGGCAAAATATCACCAAACCAGTGAATCAGATAAAAGATATATGGGAGTTTTTTTACTTCTCTTACAACTCTTCCATAACTCATAAATTATATTAAAAGGCTAAAAATGGGTTACATCTCAACATAAAGAAAGAAAAGAAAATCCTCACCACTGGACTAATAGGTAGCCTAATGAAAAACGAAGACTGAAGTTGTCACTGATTTCATTTCACTTGGATTGACAACATACATGCTAGCAGCAGTCAAGAAAGCAAATGACTGGACAAAATCTGCTGTCAAGGACTTTAAAAATACTGACAGTAAGGATGTAACTTTAAACACGAAGGTGTGCCAGATCCCAGGCAAGGTATTTTCAATTGCTTCATGTGCATGTGAAAGTTGGACAGTGAATATGGAGGACTGAAAAACTGATGCTTTTGAATTGTGATTTTGGCAAAAGACAATAAATATACTATTGAATGCTGAACAAATTTGTTTTGGAAAAAGAATAGACAGAGTGCTCCCCAGAAACAAAGATTTTGAGACTTTATCTCACATACTTTGGGTATGTTATCGGGAAGGACCAGTCCTTGGGAAGGACAACATGCGTGGAGGGTGGAGGGTCAGAGAAGACGATGACCTTCAACAAGATGGACTGACACGGTGCCAGCAGCAAAGGGTTCAAGCATTGGAGATGGTGAGGGTGGTGCAGGGCTGAGCAAGGTTCTGATATGTTTGTTATATACAGAGTCAGTATGAGTCAGAGTCCACTGGACAGCATCTAACAACACCAACAGTGTTGTTGATCCCCCACCTTCCCTCCTCCCTTGTCTATTTAGTTCTATAAAATACAAAGTTTTACAAAAGCCACTTTGAAGTCATGGTTAATACATTGTCCAGGCTCCAGAGGGTCTTGTCTACTGAGGAAGTAGTCACATTCATTCATTAAGATATGCAAAAAATATATTCATTTTAACAAGGAGGGCATAGAGGTCTTCTTAGAAGAGACAGAATTTAAGCTGGACCCAAAAAGAGAGACAGTATTTCTACAGGTGGTTATGGTTGATAAGGAATGGCATTGGAGGCAAAGGAAACAAAAGAGGGAAACACAGGGATAATGGATATAAAATGCTGACTTCTGATATTTTCATATGAATTATCCCTTAAAAGCTACTAGTAATAATTATTCTGAGGAGGGCCTGAAACACTTGCTGCAGAAGGTCAAGGACTGCAGCCTTCAATATTGATTGAAGCTCAACATCAAGAAAACAAAGATTCT